TAGGCTTTTCATATCTACATCTGAATTAGGCCTGCAATCCGTAATTGTTGTTGTGTTTAATTCATAAGAGGTAACCGGAAGATGGTAACTACCGGGGATAACACGGCCTAATTAAGTGAACGAACGCGGTTGAGTTCACTAATTAGTCTAGCCTATTTTTCTAAATCGTAAAGCGGCTAATTGTATTAAATCTTGAAAACGTTTTTCTGGACTGTACAAAAAGTCAGGTTTAATCGTCGAGCGTCTCGCGGTTAAATTAAAAATAAGGAAAAATTCGGGTAACAGACCGTGTCGTTACCTAGGGCTAGTAATTCCAGGAGATAGCGAAATCTGATACTAAAATTAATTAAACGAGTCAATCGAGGATGTAGACGGAACCGTGGACTAGATATTTCCCCATTTATTTGATAATCATCTTTGTTTGCTGCATTTGGTTTCATTATATTATTCATATTTTTAGTAGTTAATTAATTCATACCAAAATCCCCCTTTTTATTAGTATTTACATGATTTCAATTAAAGAAAATAATTACAACTAAATTCCACACTCCCTGTGGGTTCGACCCTTGCTCACTACTACTGCTAGTTGGTAGAAGTCGGTTAAGGAAAATAAATATTATATTTTGACCGTGTCGCGACGCGCGGTCAATTATTAATTATTAATATGTATATATATTAATTATATAAAAATATATATTGTATAAAATTAGTTTAAATAACTTTTTTTGTTGTTTCTTTACTAAAGGTATTTAATTATTTTTCTTATTTGAAAACTTTCATGAAAAAATTAATTAGTAATTATTAAAAGTAAAATTATTATATTTACATATTTTTTCCTATTCTTTTCATGTACTTTTTAAATTTTCTCTTCTTTCTTAAATATAAAAAATGTTTTTTTTGGTGACACAGTTAAATAATATTACTAATAGCCATTAAAAAAATTAATTGAAATTAACTTATTTTAAAAAAGAATTTTAATTTACCGTAATTATTTAGTTTTTTTATTAATGTAAAAAATATTTTAAAAATGTAATAGAGAGTCCTTTTAACATGTAAAGAGCCAGTCCTGGGGTAGGGCGGGCCGGGAGACCGCCCAGGGACCCACTTACCCCAGGGACCAATATTTTTAGTTATTGGTATATATTAATTATATAAAAATAATAGTTTTTATATTTATTTTTTCTTAACTCTTTAGTAAATGCATTTAATTGTTTTTTTTTTCACTTGAAAAATTTCATAAAAAAATAATTATTAATTATTAGTTGTAAAATTAATATGCTTTTACATACTTTTTCATATTCTTTTCATTCATTTTTTAAATTTTCTCTTCTTGCTTGAATTTAGTAAATGTTATTTCGTGAGACACAATTAAATAATGATACTAATAGCTATTAGAAGAGTCAAATACAATCAACTCGTTTTTAGATGCGTTTCAATTTATCATTAAATAGTTTTCTTAGGTATCAAACTTAATAAGTTTTACTTTTTTTCGCTTAAAATTATTAAATTTTAATTTAATATTATATATTTCCAAGAGTTGGAAATAAAAAAAAATTAAGATATATATTTAAGCAAAAAAGTTTTAGAGTTTAACATTTTTTTTGTTTTAGGAAAAAAAATCTTTCGTCCATTCTTTTCATTTGTTATTTTTAAAATATAAAATTTAGTTATAGTCATATTTTAGATTTCACAATTTTTATTATAGCTTGTAATATTATGCTTTTTTATGATTTTTTTTTGAAAAAAAATCAAATAGAACATTAACACATTTTGCCTACGGCTTTTTGAAGGTCAGGACCANTTCAATTGATTTATTTTATCACAAATGACAAATGAGCTTTGCTCGGCTAAACAGTAGCCTACATAGTACACGTTATCGCTCCATATAAGATGATTAATTAATATCCCTTCCGATTGTAACATATGATTTGTACATTACGCTAAATAATGAAATGTTCCAATTATTCTCATTTTCATGCAATTAGACAAAAATGAAACCAAAACTAAGAGTAATGTCGCTTCGCATTTTTCTAAAGGATGTGTTTGGATACAAATATATTTGCTCAAAACCAATTTTTTTTTCATTAACAATGGTTAATTTTGAAAGAGGTTTTAGTTGTTAGTAGAATTTTAAGTTTATATTAAAATAATATTTAAAATAAAATAATTAAATTTTATTTGATATTTAGAGAAAGATAACATGAAGTGAGGGGCAGAGCAACCCAAAGACGAGGTGGGCTTCAGCCCGAGTTTTTTCTTTTAATAAAAAAAAACAAACACTAGTAAGCCATTTATTTATGAACTCAGCCCATACTTAATAAAGTTCAGCCCATAGAAGATAAAAAAGCCTAGGTTTTTTCCTTTAAAAGTACTTAAAGAAGATTTTTAATACATTTTGGACTGAAATGAAAATTAAAAACACAAGGCCCATCTCATAACCCATTTAGGTCTCCCAACAGCCTTTCTTCCTTCTTTATTATACTACCCGTTTCACTCTCTCACAATCCTTCTTTTTATTTTCTATTCTTTTTTTATAACATTATTTTTGTTGACCCAATACATCCCTATCAAATAATATTGTTTCTACTAATCAACTACATGTTACTTATTGCATACGATTCATTATACATGTTTATTTTAATTACTTTAAATAAATTATATTACCTAATAATTTATTATTTTCACTGGTTTCACCACATTTCAACAACGTTTAAGGTTTATCCGAAGTTTGTTTAATGAATGGTAAACATATTAAATATTTGGTTTAGGTTTGTACACAATCAAGTCTAATACGGCAATGATGAGAAAGAGAGGTAATAATAAAATATGTGCCTTATTTATTCC